GGCCCGTTGACCTTAGTTAGACTTAGTTAGGTTAGATAGGTGCCCTAACGCGCCTTAATTCGTTAGGTGGCGACTCCAAACTCAAAAATCCCAAAAGAGTTGTTAGGTCGTGCACAAAACTCATTTTCCGCGAAAATGGGGCGCGACAGAATGGCGACTCCGCTGGGGATGTTAGGTTCTTACCATTACGTGTTAACTGCTTATTTATGTGGGGTTTACTTTATATTGTTTATTTCATTATTTGCTAGGTGTTTATCATATTTAGTTGCCTTATTAATTGTATTCTTTTCATGTTACACCCATTTTCCCTCTTCTTATTTGTTTATTACCATGTTTCATATTCTCCTGTTTCCCTTATTTGTTTACTACATTTAATTCTATATTCTCTTTCCTTATTTGCGTGATTTTTTACACCTTTATATGTTTAAATTTCTTTTATTTATTTATGCTTATTTATTTACTGTTTTATAAAATGCTTATACGTTACCATTTTCCAATTGAAATGCTAAGTGTTTAGTGCTTTGATAACTGACATTCCGCTCATATTTCCCCCAATTGGGACCTTCTCCTTTTTTCATTTTTCGTGATGTTGTGCCTTTGCACCTCTCACAACTACTCCAATTCTATTCAAGTACCCATTATAGAGAGTCGGCATATGCGTGGACGTAACGGATAGTTTTACTACCGCGAAATCACGAGCCTCTCGCATAGAATCCCTTTCAAGTCCGCGTCAAGACAACTCTTAGAAGTCTTTGTTAGGTCATACATGCTGCATAAACCCTAGGTGGTTTGACCCTTGGCGTCAATCCATATAATTAGTAGCCACCCTATTGCCTAAAGGGCCCCAACACCCTTTAGACAAATTGCATATTTATGTGTCAATTTGATCATCATATTTTAAATCAAGTCATCATGTCAAAATGGAGTTAAAATCTTTCTTTGACTCTAAACTTCAAATTGGCAAAGTATAACTTGATTCAATTATGTGACCTTATTAACTATTATAATTGTCTCACTTTGAGTTATTGTGTCATTCATTTGATATTATAATTTTGGCTTACTATATAATAACTCGGTTTTATTTTTGATTTACTTCTTTGACTAAAGGTTGTCTAGTATTTGGATAATTGGCTCGACTAAGATTCTGCAATATGACAAATATGTTCAACCTTCGAAAAAATCACTCATCTTCTCGTCCAACACAAAGTACCTTTTGGACCATCTCTCCTCATCCTATTCCTACTCACACCCTCTCTCAACAAAGGTCTCCAACACGCCTCAATTTTGATGCTTCACAATATGAGGGAATAGGTGACAAGGTAGAGAAGTCTAAGCTAGATGCACTGCAGCAAAAAATGCATGACTTGGAGAAAAGGGTAAATGGAGGACTACATTCAATACCTACTCATGACCTAAGATATAAAAATTTATGTCTACACCCAGGAGTTGAATTGCCATCAGGATTTAAAATTCCAAAATTCAACATGTTTGACGGACGTGGGGATCCGATAGCACATCTCAAAGATTTTTGCAGCAGGCTAGTTGGCTTAGAAAACAATGAACCTCTCCTAATGAGGTTATTTATTCAAAGCTTATCAGGAATAGCCTTCACTTGGTACGTCAAACAAGACTTTGACAAATGGCTCTCATGGGAAGACATGGCTCGAGACTTTGTGGAACAATACAAGTTTAATACAAAGGTTGACCCTACAATGTTAAATTTGATCAAATTGAAGAAATTAAGTCATGAATCTTTTGAGGAATATGTCATACGATGGAGAATGGAAGCCTCCAAGATACGCCACTTACCACATGAGGAGGAGTTGGTCCAAACTCTCATCAGATCACTTGAGGGTATATACTACAAAACCCTATTCTTTGCTGGTATTCAAGGTTTCGATAGTCTAATTCGAATTGGAAAAGAGTTAGAATATGGCATTCAATCTGGAAGAATTGTTGATACACAAATTCCTTTTCAAGTCCTGAAAGACTCATTAGATGAAAAGAACGAAGATGCATCAACCTATATACTTCCGAAACAAAGAAATCAGAATATTGAGCAAATTCATGCTATTCTTGAGCCTTCCAACCCTCAGGTATCTCAACATAAGGTGAGGAAACCTCGTGTCTTCACTCCCTTAAGGGAAACTTTGACCGATATTTTTCAGAGATTATGCGCTAAAGGACTTCTAAGACCAATAAATGGATGGATTCCCAAGCACTCTACTTCAAACTTTGATCTATCAAAAAATTGTGCCTACCATTCAAACATTCAAGGTCATGACACTGAAGAATGTGCAGCATTGAGAAATAAGATTCAGAATATGATTGAAAAAGGAAAAATTATAGTGCAACAAGGACAACAAAACAACAATTGCAATCCTTCTATGGCGAATACATTCATCGTTCAAGGAGATCCTACAAAGATATACGTTAGGCACTTCACAAGGAAGCGTAAATCACATCAGAAAAATTGATATGGACAAGACTCTTATGAACAAAGTTGGCTTTATTGTTCTCAGACCTTATGCCGAAAACCTTCCTCATTCCTTTCATTTTTTATTTTTTTTTCATTGTAATTCTGAACTACGTTTGACCTGATTTCCTTTTTGGATACGTAGGCAACCCTTGATGGGTCCGGTCTCTATCAAATAAATTTTCTTTCTTTCCCATTGTCATTCAAAACACTCATTTACAAATTCAAATCTAGACTAATTGACAATCCATGAACATAATTGACACTTGAATTCGAAGTCGAGCCTTCATGTCCAAATACAAGACAATCATTTTTTTTTTGGAACTTACAATTTTTCTTTGAGTGAAGCAGGATCAAAAATTCCCCCACTAATAAACTGGGGCAGAATTTTTGAGGAAACCTCAAAAATTTTCACAAAGATATTTAACAAAGTGAGTATACATCTTATACTCTAAACTGGGGCAGAAATTTTTGAGAAATCCTCAAAAATTTCATCACAACGGAATGCAACTCTAAAGGAAAAACAAGCACAGGTATGACCATCTCTCGCCTTTTGAATTTACGATTTTTCTCTGGATGCAGGAATAACTTATATGAGCGTACTGTCATATTTAGGAGCTACAATGTAAGTCATACTATCCTCAGATTATCTTTTTTTAAGAGGCTATTATCAACTTTCTTCTACGACTGACTGAATATATAAGCTCTCCCACCTTATTATAATACGATATTTAGGCTTTTCCGCCTCAAAATGCGATATTTAGGCTCTTCCGCCTTACAATAGGATTTTAGGCTCTTCCGCCTTACAATAGGATGTTTAGGCTCGTCTGCCTTACAATACGACATTTAGGCTCGTCTGCCTTACAATACGACATTTAGGCTCTTCCACCTTACAATAGGATATATAGGCTCATCTGCCTTACAATATGATGTTTAGGCTCGTCTGCCTTACAATACGACATTTAGGCTCTTCCGCCTTACAATAGGATTTTAGGCTCTTCCGCCTTACAATAGGATGTCTAGGCTCGTCTGCCTTACAATACGACATTTAGGCTCGTCTGCCTTACAATACGACATTTAGGTTCTTCCACCTTACAATAGGATATATAGGCTCATCTGCCTTACAATATGATGTTTAGGCTCGTCTGCCTTACAATACGACATTTAGGCTCTTCCGCCTTACAATAGGATTTTAGGCTTTTCCGCCTTAAAATAGGATGTTTAGGCTCGTCTGCCTTACAATACGACATTCAGGTTCTTCCGCCTTACAATAGGATATTTAGGCTCTTCCGCCTTACAATAGGATGTTTAGGCTCGTCTGCCTTACAATACGACATTTACTTTCGTCTCTCCTTACAACCAGACCTTTTGCTTATATTATTATATGTTTATACTATCAAATATTTTGGAGTTTGACGTTATTCTTCAGAGATGGGTTTCAATCCTTCAAGAAGTTAAAAACTATCAAGGCTTGCACTACGTCTCAAACAGATACGTTCCTTATCACCTCTTGTCATGTATCTTGAACTCATATTTTATTACTATTGGTTATATTTTATCTATTTATAAGCTAACATTTTATCTAGAATTTGCAGATATAATCGATCGCCCTTGATCACAATTATCATGCTATCCGCTGTCACAACAAAGACTCTATCAATTCTTCAAACCCCGAGCTTCGCTCAAAGGCTGATAGCCTCACTCTATCACGCTCTTCCTGTATCTGTCACGATCTTCTAGCCTCTCAATCTCTCTTCTCGCTACTCTAATTTTATCCATTCAAGCCGATATCGTGCCTTCCGAACACCTTAGCGCTCTTTCAACTTTTAAGGGC